AGTGCCTGGCGTGCTCTGGTCCAGGGGGTCACGAAGAGTCGGACACGACTAAACGACTAAACAACAACAACAAAGGCCATGGGTAGGCAACCTAAGGCCTGGGGGCCGGATCTGGCCCAATCGCCTCCTAAATCCAGTCCGCAGACGGTCCGGGAATCAGCATGTTTTTACATGAGCGGAATGTGTCCTTTTATTTAAAATGCATCTCTGGGTTATTTGTGGGGCATAGGAATTTGTTCATTCCCTCCCCCCAAAAAAAATATAGTCTGGCCCCTCACAAGGTCTGAGGGACAGTGGACCGGCCCCCTGCTGAAAAAGTTTGCTGACCCTTGGCCTAGGTGATGCCTCACCTGGGCACTCCCATCTCCCATGGCTCCAAAGGTCTGCTGCTCTCAGGATACCTGGCAACAGTAGTTTGGTGACATAATGTTTCCGACTCTCTCTCTCTCTCTCTCTCTTTTTAATTTAAAAAATAAAAAAATTCGACTGTCTCCAAGCCAGAAGCTCCTTGCTGCCATCTGCCAGAGAGCTTCGTTTCTCAAAGCAAATAGCTTATTACCAACATGCACAAAAGGGGGTTTATTTCAGGCAATTAAATAACAACCGAAAAAATTATACAGCTGTGGGCTTCAGAATATGTTTAATTAAGTGGCTCCCCCTCCTCTCCCCCCACCCATAAATGGAAAAATCTGGCTGGAACGATATAGGAATACGCCAGGCTTGCAGCAGCCGGCTCGGAAAAGTTTGCAAGCAATCGAGGTGTGTTTTCTTCTCCTACCACTAACAGAATTGCCACTGTTCTGCAACATTTATGTGGAGCCAGCTGGGAATGCGCTGGCCTCAGCCTCCACCTACCTGCGGCACTGCGATTTCATTATTCTTGTCATAAAAATGTATACGCCACTTGATTGTTAAGAAAAACCTCAAAGCGGTTTACAAAAAGATAAAACAACTGAACCAAGAAAAGACTTTCCAATTCTACTTTAAAACATACAAAAGTCAAAACGCTCAAGCGGATTAGGATTGCCTCCGTTTTCTAAGCATCTGGGCTTACCTTGACAAGAATGTTTTCAGTGGCGCCAGAAAGAGGCGCCTGCTTGATCTCAATAGGCAGGGAGTTCCAAAGTACGAAACGCTCAAATTCTTGCAAGGAAGTGGGTGGGCATTGCGTGCCTGGTTTTAATCACATTGTTATTCTTTCTTTCATTTCTTGTATCGGATTTTATTGCGTTGCAATTTGAACTCCGTGGAATATAAAATAATAATAAGTAAAGATGCAATTTAAAAGGGAACCCAATGGGTAAAAAAATGAACCAAGGGTCTGGAAACCAAGCCTGATGAGGAATGGTTGAAGGAACTGAGTCTGTTTAGCCTGGAAAAGAGGAGACTGGGAGGAGATAGGAGAGCCATCTTCAAATATCTTATGAGCTGACACATGGCAAGCTTGTTTTCTCCTGCTTTGGAGGGTAGGACTCGAACCCATGGCTTCAAGTTACAAGAAAGGAGATTCCAACGAAACATACGGAAAAACTTTCTGACAGTAAGAGCTGTCCAACAGTGAAACAGTCTCCCGTGGAGGTTTTTCAGCCAAGTTTGGATAGCCATTTGTCATAGATGCTTTATCTGAGATTCCAGCATTGAAGAGGGTTGGACTAGATGACCCTTGTGGATCCCTTCGAACTTTTCTACAATTCTGATTCTACAATTCTATGATTATTTGATACACTGTGCCCACTCTTCTTCACAGACACACTGTAGACCACCTAAACAAAGCTCATGGATCATTGGTGGGCCTAGGACCACAGTTTGGGAACCTTAGCTGTACATCACATTACATAAAAAAATATATGGAGGCTACACATTTTGAGTGAATAAAACTGTTTCCTAAAAAGCATTCCACACTCATCCCAGAACAGAAAATATGTCATAGGCATGTGGTATTGTTGATGTTTTTTCATGTTCCGTGTCTGAGAACCTCCCCTTAAGGCATCCAAGTACAGAGGCTCACACCAAATTTCCAACCAGTCATACAGCAATACAATACTGGACATAGACTCTGCAAGAGCATTGCCATTAAGACGCAGACTGTAGAGGCAAAAGATATATCACCTTAGCTGTTCAACCTCCAAGTAATCTCTCATCCAACCACAGTCCTTGAAATACAACTTTAAAAAAGGTAAAGGTAAAGGACCCCTGACAGTTAAGTCCAGTCGTGGACGACTCTGGGGTTGCAACACTCATCTCACTTTACTGGCCGAGAGAGCCGGCGTTTGTCCACAGACAGTTTTTGCAGGTCATGTGGTCAGCAGGACTAAGCCGCTTCTGGCGAACCAGAGCAGCATACGGAAACACTGTTTACCTTCCCGGCCGGAGCGGTACCTATTTATCTACTTGCACTTTGACGTGCTTTCGAACTGCTAGGTTGGCAGGAGCAGGGACCGAGCTACAGGAGGTCACTAGTTGCGGCCGACTCTGGGGTAGCAGCGCTCATCTCACTTCATTGGCCAAGGGAGCCGGCATACAGCTTCCGGGTCATGTGGCCAGCATGACTAAGCCGCTCCTGGCGAACCAGAGCAGCGCACGGAAACGCCCATTTACCTTCCCACCGGAGTGGTACCTATTTATCTACTTGCGCTTTGACGTGCTTTCAAACTGCTAGGTTGGCAGGAGCAGGGACCAAAAAACGGGAGCTCACCCCATCACGGGGATTCAAACCACCGACCCTAGGCTCTGTAGTTTAGACCACAGCGCCACCCACATCCCACAAAATACAACTTACTCAACCCATTTCACTGTCCTTGCCAGAACCCTCCCTGTACCTTATTGCATTCTGGCGTTTCTGACACTGACAAGAAACCAGACAGAAATTCCATGTCATCCTTTTTCATTCTTCATCCTGCAACGTTATCTGTGGTTCCCCAGAAACACCAGAAAGCCCATTCCCCTCCAACGCCAGCTCCATGCATTTTGTCTCCCAAAATACGGTGCGAAAACAGATCACAAAATCACAGTGGAGGCGGGGACAGGGTAATTACAAATGTCCGGTGACACCTGTCAGAGCAGCTCCCTAACGCAGCGCGATATATTTTTCTCCGAATTCCACTTAGCAGCAAGGGGAGCGTTAAATCTGTAATTTCACACGAAAGGCCTTGATCATATCCAAATATCGTGTTTGAACAGGGCTTCTAAATTGCCCTCTCAAGCTGCTACATTTGTTCAGCAAAGGTCACCTGGTGGAGGAGACGTCTCATTTCTCTGGATTTAACAAAGTCAGAAATTAATCTGTCAACTGAGTTAGAAAGGGAGAGGGCTGGAAATAATAGTAATATAAAACACGCACACGCAAACACACAAAGGGGAGAAAGGGCAAATGCACAAGCCTTCAATCTCGCAGCAAATTCAGGTCCTGAGGGATGCCAGCAATTGATATTCAGAAGTACAGTATTGCTGCCTCCAGTTTGGTGTTGTGGTTACAGCGTCAGACTGGAACCTGGGAGAGACTAGGCTTCAAATCCCAACTGAGCCATGCAGCTCGCTGGGTGACCTTGAGCCAGTCACTGCCTCTCAGCCTAACCTACCTCGCAGGCTTGTTGTATTAACTTCTTCTTCTTTGGCGATCCCTCGTAGCTGAGTAAGATTGTCTTCTATAAAGGCGGCATTAACAATGAGTCCGTAAGTGGCTGCAGAGGCCAATTCTGGGTCCACATGTCCTTCCACAGTGGGGACATTGGTTTCTGGACGAGAGTTGATCACGGTGTGGATTTGCCAAGCGTGCCTTCCTCTTAGCACGTTTCTCCCTTGCGTCCTGAGTTCGAGTGTCTTTAAAGCCCATGACACCTTTGGCCAAGGCTGTTCTCCAACTGGAGCACTCACAGGCCAATGTTTCCCAATTGTTAGTGTTTATACTACATTTTTTAAGATTTGCCTTGAGAGAGTCTGTAAACCTCTTTTGTTGACCACCAGCATTACGCTTTCAATTTTTAAGTTCGGAATAGTTGCTTTGGAAGATGATAATCAGGTATCTGAACAGCGTAACTTACCTCGCAGGGTTGTTGTGGGGTATTAACTGAGGATAGAAGGACAGATCCTGAAGCTGAGGCTCCAAGACTTTGGCCACCTCATGAGAAGACTCCCTGGAAAAGACCCTGATGTTGGGAAAGATGGAGGGCACAAGGAGAAGGGGACGACAGAGGACGAGATGGTGGGACAGTGTTCTCGAAGCTACAAACATGAGCCTGACCAAATTGCAGGAGGCAGTGGAAGACAGGAGGGCCTGGCGTGCTCTGGTCCAGGGGGTCACGAAGAGACGGACACGACTCAACGACTAAATAACAATTAACTGAGGAACAGGAGAGCCAGCTATGCCACCTTGAACTCCTTGGAGGATATGAATGCAAGGAAGACATAAACAGTGGAGGCAGAGCATAGCCCTCTCTTCCTCCAGGACTTTATCTAATCCTCTTTTAAAGCCATCCAAGTTGGTGGTCATCACTGCAGGAGTTGTTGGGAGGGAGTTCCATAGTTTAACAATGTGTTGTGTGAAGAAGTTCATTCATTTCCCAGTCCCAAATCCACCATCATTCAGCTTCATTGGACGTCCACAAGTTCTGGTGTCACTATTTATTAATTATTATTATTATTATTATTATTATTATTATTATGTATCCCGCCCTACACCTGCAGGTCTCAGGGCAGTACACAGGATAAAATCACAATATAGAATTGCAAAATACATAATCAAAAGAAAAAGGAAAACAAGAGGAGGGGGGAAACTTTCCTCTCTCTCCGCTTCCTCCACGTTGTGCTTTCCCCAAAATTGTGGCCCAGTCATTTTATGAGATAGTAATGGCAGAACTGTAGAAATTATTTTGTTTTTAGAGTCTGTATCTTTTGTGCTTTATCTCATTTTATCTTACCGTACGCCACTTTGATGGCTCCTGGCTGTGAAGCAGTTTATGAATCTGTAAAATAAATAATAAAGCGCGACGAGAGACGAGGCCTTCAGAATTAAATTATTTTAATGTCAAACCCTTTGCAGAACAATACCGATCAGCATGCGTGGAGTTCAGAAGCTGAAACTGACAGGAACCAAGTCGGGTTTCTGAGGCAGAGACATGGAAGGGAAGAACAGAGTCTTGGTTCATCACAGACCCTCCTCCATTTCCCATCGCTCTCAGTTTTCCATTCTGGTGCTGAGAAATGTAGGATTTCCCCCTTTCAGTGCCTGGAAAGGTACTACAGCTTTAAGCTGTAGCAGTCTTTTCCAGCCTCCAGAGGTTTATGCCCCATTCCCACCATCCATCTAAAGCATCATAACACGACTGCCCCCAAATAATCCTGGGAGCTGTAGTTTGCTAAGCGTGCTGGGAATTGTTAGGCAACCCCCTAGCCCCCTCCCAGTGCTACAATTCCCAGAGCAACCGATGGAGAGAGAGATTGGTGGTTAAACAACTCGGAGAATTGTAGCTCTGGGAGGGGAACAGGAAGGTCTCCAAACTCTTCTCAGCAATCTTAACAAACTACACCTCCCACGATTCTCTGCTTGGCTGCTTGAAGTGGTATCGTGGGGCTTTAAATGGGTGGTTTAAATGGGGTCTTAGGCAGCAGTGAAAACCAGTTACTGGAAAACCAGTTACTAAAGCACTGCTCCACAGCAAGCGTTCCATGTGGCTCGCACAAGCAGCCTCCGTGGGAAAGGGTGACCACTAAGCGATACAACTATCAAATGAAACGTCGTCAACTTTAATATATTAAATATGCGAACTTTTTCGTTGACATTCTTTAAGTCAACCATAAGATTCTCCCAGCTTTCTGAAGAGCCTTAACAGAACCATCGCAGTGCATCATTTAAACCTCACTCTCCAGATCCCGGATCATGAAAAGTGGCAGAAAACGGATTTGCCTGAAAACAAACGGACAGACTTTGGGAGAACAGCAGGGTTCGTCTGGGACTTGATGAGTTGAGGGTCCACGCCTTCCAAGTTATGGCATCGAAGTATCCGTTCCAGGGAATATCTCTTGCCCTCCAGATCCTGTTAAACCAACATCCCATTTCCCACAAGCACCCCACCCCTGCCTTCGATATTTGAGGAGTTTCTGGTTTCATGTTTGGTTAGGAATAACTCCTGACAGATACTCAGGCCCAGAGTAGTTTACCCAAAACACTGACATGGGGAGGGGGTCTTAAAGTGACCAGCATTTGTGTGAGAGAGATTTGCATAGCAAGCTATTGGTCACCAGTTTTCAGAAGGAATTAAATAACACATAATTGTTTTTTGGGAGAAAGTGTTTCTAAGGAATGACAACTTACAGTGTTGGGTAGAGTGCCATGGTTTCTAAGGTTACCTGAGGATGTCTAGCACTTGTTGCTCTGTTTCTCCCAACCCATCCTCTCCCTTTAAAAATAAATAAATAAGGTAGATGCTCCGAGAGTCCAACTTTCATTGTTTCAGCCCAGTTCCTGAAACTTATCAGTTGCTACTCCACACTTGTCTTCAGCCTCGGAGTTGTCAGCGTTTCAACCAGTGATGTGCCAACATGTTGTTTCCAGGGGAGCAGGGCTCATGATCGCCATTTTCACTGGGGTGCATGGGAACCGAAGTTTCCCATGCATCCTGTGCCAATTTTTTATAATTCCGGGATCCATGGGAAACTAGAATTCCCATGGATCCCAGTGGCAACGGATGCTCCAAAGGATGCCACGAAACACCCAGGCCTTAAGGAGGTGGTCTGCAAGACACAAAGAGGGTAGCAAGGACTAGCAGGAGAGCTTTCCCCAGGGTCACCAACATTCCAACATGAGCTGGGGGAGCCCATTCCTCAATTCTTCTAAGGCCCTGGCTTTGCTTGCTGAGGCCTTTATGAGAAGCCAGCCACATCTCCTGATCCCTTGGCATTACAGAATATAAATAGTCACCAATAAAAGTGCATGTGACAGACTAAAACGACGGACGTGAAAATGAGGAGGGGGGAGCTGCAGGGGCGCATAGCCCTATCGGTATGGAAGATGTGGAGTTTCTTGACGTCCGGGTGGTACGCTTCGCCGTCTTCCAGCGCCCCGCGGGCAGCCAGAATGAAGCTGGCATCCCCCGAAGTCGCCACGTCAAAGACACAAGCCTGGAAGTAGACATCTTCGACGGGCAGCTTCTCCTTGCACAGCAGACGGGCCTTCTCGAGGGCACCGCTGCCCTCGCCCTTGCTTCGAGAGATGCGCTGGCTGGGCGGGCAACCTCCCACGCAGAGCTGCAAATCTTGCTCGTCCGTGAAGGAGAGAGCCACCTCCTCGGCCGCCCGGATGGAGAAGGACAGCTGTCTGCCCGTCTGGCGCACGGCAATTGTGGTGCCAACGTGCGCTGCTCGGATCTCCACATGGCGCCCAGGCGTGCGCTCGTAGATGACCAGGCTGCTCCCCCCGGGCCTCGCTCCACCATTCACAGAACCATCCACAAAAGACACTGGCAGGTTGTCTATTTCCGCTTGGTAGACCTTCTCGTCGATGCACTCCTTCATGTTCTTAAAAATGATGGTGAGCTGAAAAGAACAGAGATCTTAAAAGCTTAAAGGTAAAGGGACCCTAACCATTAGGTCCAGTTGCGGACGACTCTGGGGTTGCGGCGCTCATCTCGCTTTATTGGCCGAGGGAGCTGGTGTACAGCTTCCGGGTCGTGTTGCCAACATGACTAAGCCGCTTCTGGCAAATCAGAGCAGTGCACGGAAACGCATTTGACCTTCCCGCCGGAGTGGTACCTATTTATCTACTTGCACTTTGACGTGCTTTCGAACTGCTAGGTTGGCAGGAGCAGGGACCGAGCAACGGGAGCTCACCCCATCGGGGGATTCGAACTGCCGACCTTCTGATCGGCAAGTCCTAGGCTCTGTGGTTTAACCCACAGCACCACCCGTGTTTAAAAGCTTAAAGTGCAGCAAAAGGGAAACCCCAGGCATCTGAGGACCCTCGAGACCTGTTTATTCTGAGGAAGGAGGCAGGACTGCTGTCCACCAGAAGGGATTGGAGAAGCAAAAGCAGGCAGAGGTTGGTGCAAACCCATCCTTGCCTCACAGTTGCTCACCACTTTTCCAGATCCCTCTATTATCAAAAGTAGCCCAGATAGTGCCTTGCCTTCTTCAAATTTACTGGCTTGTCTTCAGAGCTTTAACCAGATCTGTGCCCAAATTTTGTTTTGTGGGGAAGCAGGGCTTGTAATCAACAGTGTCACGGGGATCCATGGGAGTTGCAGTTTCCAGTGGCTCCTGTGCCAACTGTTTGACCTAGGAAGCATGGGAAATCACGCTTCCCGTGGATCCCAGTGTGCTCCTGCAGGTGGGAAACTTGCTGTCCTCCAGTTGTTGCTGGACCACAACTACCAACATCCCTGACCATAGGCTATGCTGGCTGCTGGGGTGGTTGGGAGATGGTGTTCAGCAACAGCCGCAGGGCCATTGCTACAGGTGATTTCCAGTCAGATTCAAGCTGTGAATTAAGGTGGAAGTATGTGGGGCTACCTCTGAAGGTGACTCAGAAACTACAACTAAACTAGGTGGCAGCTAGTCTGGTGACTGGGAGCAGCCGCTGGGACCACATAACACCGGTCTTGAAAGAACAACATTGGCTCCCAGTACGTTTCCAGGCACAATTCAAAGTGTTGGTGTTGACCTTTAAAACCCTAAACGGCCTCGGTCCAGTATACCTGAAGGAGCATCTCCACCCCCATCACTCAGTCTGGACACTGAGGTCCAGCTCTGAGGGCCTTCTGGAGGTTCCCTCACTGGAAGATGTGAGGTTACAGGGAACCAGGCAGAAGTAGTGATGCCCACCTTGTAGAAAGCTTTCCCAACGTATGTCAATTAATAATAATAATACAGTCATGCCTCATGTTACGTCTGCTTCATGTTACATTCTTTCAGGTTACGTCCCATGGCGACCCGGAAGTACCGGAAAGGGTTACTTCCGGGTTTTGCCACTCACGCATGCACAGAAGCACAAAATGACATCACGTGCATGCGCAGAAGTGGCAAATTGCAACCCGTGTGTGCACAGACGTGCTGCTGCGGGTTGCGCTCTTTTCATGTTGCGAACGGGGCTCCGGAATGGATCCTGTTCGCAACCAGAGGTACCAGTGTAATAATGATAATGATAATTATTATTATTATTATTATTATTATTATTATTTATTTATACCCAGCCCATCTACACAACTTTCTGAAAACAGGCCTCTATTGGGAAGTTTTAAATGTCCAGTGTTGTGTTGTATTGTGTTGTGTTGTGTTGTGTTGTGTTGTGTTGTGTTGTATATACCCCGCCCATCTGGCTGGGCCTCCACAGCCACTTTGGGCAGCTTCCAACAGATTAAAAACACAATAAAACATCAAACAGAAAAAACTTCCCTAAACAGGGCTGCCTTCTGAATCTGTTGGAAGCCACCGAGACATTTATCATTATCATCATTATTATTATTATTATTATTGACCCAACATGCTGCCCTCCAGAGATATTGTGGGACTCCAGTACCCTCTTGAACCACCGGCACAAGCCAATCAAAAAGCTGAAGAGCAGCTTCTCGAAGGATCCGTTGTTACCTTGCTGATGGCAGTAGCATTTGACCCTTTCACGACAGGAGAGCTGGTGGCCTGCACATACAGGTAGTTGTTGTCCAGGAGCGGCCAGGAACCCTCCACCTGGCAGGTGTGGAACTGGTCCCTGAAGGTGCGCACGTGGGGGTCCCCAAAGGCGGCGCAGTGCTGGTACACGGGGGCCTGCCTGTGCTTGCGGGCAAAGCTCTTCTCGTAGTCGCAGATGTCCAGGGACGCGAAGCCCTGGTGATCGGGGGGCGGCTGGGGCGGCTGGGGCAGGGAAGTGGGTCCTTCCCTGGAGCAGTTGTTCTGGATCATGAGGTCTTCGATGCCGTACACAGCAGAGTGGTACGCCAGGTTCCCGCGGCAGGTGCGGGCCGTCCGGCGTGTGCAGCTGGAGTAGGCGCGCAAAGCGTTGCAGCGAGCGTCCGTCGCGTCCGAGTCGTCCAGGTTCTCCGTGGCAGCCAGATACTGGGAGTTGCAGCGCAAGATCTTGCACTGTGAGTCAGCTGCACAATGGGGGGCAAGGGGGGAGAAGAAAATCAGTGCCACATCATCACAACCTTCTTCGCTCTACCTGCCAACAATCTCCTCCCCAATTTCACTGGGAAATGAAATGAAATGAAATGGATGTTTAAAATAAAGTTTGTAAGATGCTGTTTCTTTTTCAAACAATTCCAGTAATTAAGGGAGTAACACAATTTAAAGATTGGCAAAAAACACTATCAAAATTCATCTGGCAGGGAAAGAGGCCAAAAATCAAATTTCAACTGTTAACAGATCAGAAAGAAAGAGGGGGATTCATGGTTCCAAATCTAAAATTGTATTATGAAGCATCCTGTTTATGTTGGATCAAAGAATGGATCACATTAGAAAATACGGATTTATTGGACTTAGAAGGTTTCAACAACAGATATGGCTGGCATTCTTATTTATGGCTCAATAAGGTTAAGGTTCATAAAGGTTTCTTGAATCATATCTTTAGAGGTGCCTTATAGGAAGTTTGGGGGGAAAATAAAAAATTATTAGAAAGGAAAACACCCTGATGGATCTCACCGATAGATATACTAACAATAAAAAAATCGAATATGGAAGGAAAAAGATTAACTTATGAGGAAATTTTAGTAAAAACAGAGAGAGGCTGGAAAATTAAAACATATGAGGAATTAAAAAATAATTTGACAGGGTGGATACGATATCATCAAGTAAATGCGCTATGGAACGAAGATAAAAAATTAGGATTTAGTGAGAAAAAAATCTAAATATCAAACAGAAATTTTGGAAGGGGAAACAAAACTCTTATCAAAGATGTATAATGTTTTACTGGAATGGGACACCAAAGATGAGGAAATTAAGGAGGTGATGGTAAAGTGGGCAATTGACCTGGGTTATAATATAGATTATGATAAATGGGTGAATTTATGGAATAAGGGTATGAAATTTACGGCATGTTCCACACTAAGGGAGAACTAGAAAAAATGATCTACAGGTGGTCTGTTACGCCAGTTAAATTAGTAAAAATGTATAAAACGGGAGACAAGGCTTGTTGGAAATGTAAAAGCAAAGAAGGAGACTTATATCATATGTGGTGGACATGCGAGAGAATGAAAAGATTCTGGGAACTAATATATAATGAATTAAAGAAAATTTTTAGGTATACCTTTCCAAAAAGGCTGGAGGCATTTTTATTAGGCATAATAGGAGAAGAAATTAAAAAAGCCGATCATAGACTATTTCAGTACGCAACGGTGGCAGCTAGGGTTTTAGTAGCGCAAAAAGGGAAGACACCAGAAATTCCAACTGTCAGGGAATGGCAAGTAAAACTATTTGAATATACGGAATTAGCGAAAATAACACACAGGATTAGAAACCAAAAAGGATCAAAGTTTGTAGAGGAATGGAGTAAATTTTGTTAGGTAGATTTATTGCTTTATTCTTGGCGTCCAGCACGCTCCCCTACATATATATATATGTAAAGAATATGAAGAAACTGCAAAAGATAAGAAACAATAAGAAAACCGAAACTGGGAAGGAGGGAAGTCGAGGCATGATATAACGCAAGTAGATAAGCTGACAATATGTATAGTTGAAAAGAATGTTTTATTTAAGTTTTTTATATATTGCACTTTTATGTTGTCTGTGTTTTTTCCCCTTTAGTTTTTTCGTTTTTGGAAAACCTAATAAAAATCATTAAAAATAATAAAAAAATAAAGTTTGTAAAAAAATAAAAAAAACCCCAGAAGCTTTTCTCTTTGGATTTACAGGGACAGAACTACCTAAACTGTATAGAAACTTATTCATGTCGTTGAATTGACATGTATAGTATGTAATTGTAAAAAACCAATAAAGATCATCTTTAAAAAAGAAAAAAGAAGAATTCATGTATGCGACTACAGCAGCAAGAATGTTACTTGTCCAACAACGGAAGGAAGAAGAAGTTCCAGCAAAGGAAGAATGGATACAAAAACTTGTGGAATACAGTCATACCTCGGGTTACAGACGCTTCGGGTTGCGCGGTTTTGGGTTGAGCACCACGCCAAACCCAGAAGTACTGGAATGGTTACTTCCGGGTTTCAGCGCTTGCACATGCGCAGAAGCGCTAAATCGTGCTTGGTGCAGGCGCAGAAGCACCAAATCATGATCCGCGTGTGTGCAGACACGCGGGTTGCAGGTTGCGAACGCTGTGGGTTGCAAATGTGCCTCCCTCTCGGATCACGTTCGCAACCCAAGCGTCCACTGTATGCAGAAATGCTGAAACTTAACGGAAGAATAAGAAATCAAGAAAACAAACTTTTTAATAAAAGAATGGAAATGGTTTATTGGATATTTATAGATAAATTGTAAATGGATAAAAACATTGGCAGGATTATTGTAACAACCTGCAGTTTCATAGGAGTATATATTTAAAGAAGATGAATATATGAGCAAATTAAGTTAATTTGGATATGCAGAATATATTAAAAATAAATTTAAGGAACTGCAGAAAGAGGGGGAAGGAAGTGAAGTTTTGAAATGTCAACATGATTGTAAAATCAGTGAAATGCATAAATCTGAAAAGTACCAAAAAAAACCACAACAATCTCTCCTCCCCAAGGTTAGACTCTCCCTCTTCAGCCACAGGATTGTATTCTACATCTATGAAACACGAAATGATGTGGTAACGTTCTTAAGCATGAAATACGGCAATGGTTCGGCCTGAGGTTGGGTGGGTGATCTCTGGGCATGCACAGAGTAATATTCTTTCACCATTAAGCAGCTGTAGCCCACCACCAAACTTCTGGGATTGAGAAGCGGGGAACGGCCTTGGTCCAGTATACCTGAAGGAGCGTCTCCACCCCCATCGTTCTGCCTGGACATAGAGGTCCAGCTCCGAGGGCCTTCTGGCAGTTCCCTTGCTGCGAGAAGCCAAGTTACAGGGAACCAGGCAGAGGGCCTTCTCGGTGGTGGTGCCCTCCCTGTGGAATGCCCTCCCACCAGATGTCAAAGAGAAAAATAACTACCAAACGTTTAGAAGACATCTGAAGGCAGCCCTGTTTAGGGAAGCTTTGAATGTTTAGTAGGTTACTGTATTTTAGTGTTTTGTTGGAAGCCACCCAAAGTGGCTGGGGGGACCCAGCCAGATGGGCGGGGTATAAATAATAAATTATTATTATTATGTTCAAGATGGCATTTTTAGGCACACTTACTCAGAGGACCTTGCGCCCGAGTAGACCTGCTTACAACTGAGGATACAAAGGGGCCCTCCCAAGCCAAGCCCCATCCTCCCTTCCTCCCTTTCTTCCTTCCTTCCTTTCCATGCCCACCAAAGCTGCAACTTTCTCTGACGAATGACCCAAGCGCCAAGCCCCTTACCGTGTCTGCAGAACAGGAGGAGGATGAACACTTTAATGATGGCACCAGCATTTTTTGGGCACGGAGACCTCTGGCAGCAGGCAGATCCCCGCATCCTGATCCATTCACAGATGACGCACGAGGGTCACCCAAACCTCTCCTCACTGTTCTCCTCCCATGCTGGTTCACTGGAAGGAAAGAACAGTCAAGAGATCTACAGCCCATAAATTGGCAAGGTCCCATCCTGCGTGTACTCTGCGCTCCTGCATGCATGGTCCAGATCCCACTGACTCTTTTCCCTTTAAACAATAACCCAAAAAACCAAGTCACTTGCTGTCACAGTGAATGTTGCTTCCCCCCACCCCACAAAGTTTTGTGACAATAGTTTCTGACGTCTTGGAAACTAATAGCTCTGATCCCCTCAGAACGTACAGGAGGAGCCTTTTGGATCGGGCCGACGGTCCATCACGCAGCATCCTGTTCTCACATATCCAGCTACCTGGGAGTAGGTTCACTGGGGCTTCCTTGAAATTTGGACCATGCTATAAATCTCGTCCAGTCAGGCCTCTATGAAAGCAGGGCTTACCTGGGAAGTATCTTTGCTGGGCTGTTTCCCAGAAAAGCACTGGGGAAAAATTGAGACCTTTGCTTCCCAGGGAAGCACAAGACCCCCTGCAGTTCACTGGAGGTTTTCAGACAGAGGTTGGGTGTCCACCTCTCAGGGATACTTTACCTGCAATTCCTGCATTGCAGGAGGTTGGACCAGATATCCCTCAGGGTCCCTTGCAGTGCTACGATTCATAATCCTATGGGCCCTCTCTGGTGACCCAAGGCACAGCCCCAAACCTTCTGAAGTGGGGGGTTCCCTTTGGAAGACGACTCCACCATCAGCCCCTGTCACACCTCTAACATCCATCGGAGAAGACAGCGGACCAGCCAGGTGACCGGTGACCCAATTCAGGCTGGCCAACTCCCATCACCGCTGCAATAACACTTGTCCCCTCCATTTTCCCCAGCATGTCCATCTCATTGCAGACGCTCCCTGCCCTGTCCTCCTTTGGCTTCCTTGCCGCAGGGTGGCCCAACCATCAGCAAGAAAGATCTTCCTCTCTTGGCTTTCACCTCTCGGGAAGACCTTTCCCTCTCTTCTCAGGCTCCGTCGCTGACTTTGTGCAAAGCTGCACATGTCCCCATCCTGCCGGGACACACATATCAGCGTGACCTTTTGCAAAAGTTGGCAAACAACGGCACACAAACTTTGTCCCTGCTTCCGGACCCACAGCGGGAGCTAATGATCAACCACTCGATCGCCCAAGGCACCCTCTGCACCACTCGGCCTGGGAGCCAAAGACAGCCGGTGATGAGATAAAGGCTTTGGCCCGCAAGTCGGCCATGGCCACTTCTGGATCGAGGTAGCTTGACCACAGTCGCCCATGCATTCATAAGGTTGGATTACTGCAATGCGCTCTGCGTGGGGCAACCCTGGAGGCTGCAGCCAAGGGGCATTGTGTGGCAAGGAGGTTGCTTGTGGGCACAAACTACTGCCAGCATAAAACAGCTTGCTTTCAGGATTCGCACAGGCTACCCGTCTACTACCAGGCCAACACTCTTACCGCCATGCCATGCCATAATATAATTTTGATTTTCATTGGGAGCATTGTTGAAGGGAAGCGTTAATAATAACACTCCCTTTCCCCACCAACGAGTCCTGAATGCAAATTCCCTTGCTCTTCAATGGCGGGGGAATGGATGCAAATGTGACTCTAAGTGGGCATAGCCCCCCCAAATTGAGAAATTAAGTAAAAATACTTAGAATCATAGAATCATAGAGTTGGAAGAGACCACAAGGGCCATCGAGTCCAACCCCCTGCCAAGCAGGAAACACCATCAGAGCACTGCTGACATATGGTTGTCAAGCCTCTGCTTAAAGACCTCCAAAGAAGGAGACTCCACCACACTCCTTGGCAGCAAATTCCACTGTCGAACAGCTCTTACTGTCAGGAAGTTCTTCCTAATGTTTAGGTGGAATCTTCTTTCTTGTAGTTTGGATCCAAAAAGAAAAAGAAAGCAACTCTTGCTGAGACGTTTCATTCCGAATCTGCTAGACAGAGCCGGACAGAGGGTGTCTTGGCCCCCTCCCCCCAAAAATAACTCCTGTCTACGTGCATGGAGGGGTTGAAATGACAGGGATGATTCCTAGAGAGGCATGGCAGGGAATAAAGAAGGATAGAGCTGGCATCACCAGCATGGTGTCTCTGTGGGCACCAGCACCCACCTTCTCGGGCACCCATGTGGTTTTCTCCCCCACTGAAAAAGATTGCAGTGTGTGCTTGTGTGTGCTTCCTTGTGGTTTTTCGCTTTTCTGCCAGTCTGTCCACAGGCCCAGGGAGACATAAGTCTTCGTCTTCTTTGGCAATCCTGCGTAGCCGAGTAAGATTGTCTTCCATAAACATGGTTTTAACAATGAGTCCGTAAGTGACTGTGGAGGCCAATTCTGGATCCACACGTCCTTCTACAGTGGGGACATTCGTTTCCATGCGAGAGTTGATCACGGTGTGGATTTGCCAGGTGTGCCTTCCTCTTAGTACGTTTCTCCCTTGTGTCCTGAGTTCGAGTGTCTTCAAAGCCCATGACGCCTTTGGTAAAGGCTGTTCTCCAACTGGAACGCTCACAGGCCAGTGTTTCCCATTTGTTGGCGTTTATACTACATTTTTAAAGATTTGCCTTGAGAGTCTTTAAACCTCTTTTGTTGTCCACTAGCATTACGCTTTCCATTCTTAAGTTGGGAATAGAGTAGGTGCTTTGGACGATAATCAGGCATCCAAACCACATGACCAGTCCAACGAAGCTGATGTTGAAGAAACCCTTAGCCTTATCCTCCATTAGATGGTTCCATCAGAGTCAATGGAGTTACATCCAGGATTTGTTTTTTTTATAAGCCAAAGATATGTTTTATAATGCCTTTCTTTTCAAGGTTGCTAGCCTAAACATTTGCAAGGGTTCTTTATTCACTTCTAGGCACCGATCAAGAAGGTGGTTTTTAACTTTAGTACAGAAGAGGAATACTGCTAATTGCAGTATTTGCACATATATACAACCTGATCACAAGATGCCTTAACACCCCAAGGAGATCTTGCTTCTCCCATAGTTAAAGCCTTGGACTCAGGCAGAAATCCGCACAACTAGACCAGTCCAACGAAGTTGATGTTGAAGGATCAGATGTAAGTAGAGCCCTCTGGATGAGGCCAAAGGGGGCCCATCTCGTCCAGCAACCTGTCCTCACAGTGGCTAACCGTTATCGTATACCTGCAAGCAGGATTCAAGCACAAGAGAAACTGTCTCCTCCTCCTTGCTGCCTTCAATGGAAGAGGCAGAGCATAGCCATCCTGGCTAGTAACCATCAGTTGCCCTCTCCTCCTCCATGAATCTGCCTAATCCTCTTTTCAAGCCGTCCAGGTTGGTGGCAATCATTGCCTCTTGTGGGAGGGAGTTCCGCAGTTTAATCACATATTATGCAAAGAAGGTACTTTTTAATCTATCTTGAATTACCCAACATTCAGATTCATTCGATGTCTATGAGCTCTCGAGGGAGAAAAACTTTTCTCCCTCACTTTCTCCACGCCATGCGTAATTTTACAAATTTCTATCATGCTTACATTAAAAAATAATAATCAGAAATACTGGCTACCATCCCGGGAAATCTAATCAGCTGGAATATCAAAACAACGAGCCACCTACAGCTGGAGAAATCGTACAGCTCTTCCACTGAGTTTTTTAAGTCAGATTTTCTGATTTCTGAAATAAAGTCGGGGAAAACATGGTTGCGAGATGTTTCGTTCACAGGTGCAACCTTTTTTTATTGTGGCTGTCCTTCCACAGTAAGTGACATAGGAAGCTGCCTTGTATTGCCTACACAGGTTGACAGCAAGCAGGCGTCTCTTGAATCTGGGACCTTGTGCTTGCTAGACAGATGATCTGCCACTGAGCATGTATGAGCCCCATCGTGGAGATCAGCTGTTCTGGCAGTCGCTGGAGGTGAATCAACTGCATGCCGAGGTCAGGAGAAGAGGCAGCAGCCCAGAGGTCACTGGCCCTGCTCATTCCCTGGCCCCTGGTGAGCTTTTCTGCCTGAAACCAGCCGGGAAAGCAACAAGCACCTCCGATTTCAAAGCAAGGGGCTGCCTGGACCTTCAGCTAGACACGCACACCCCTGCGAGGTGGAACAGCAGGCAGGAGAGAAGGAAATCGGAGCAGGGAAATAGACAGCAGGTGGCACTGGGAGCAGGAAGACAGCCAAACAGGAAAAGGCTTGAAAATGGTCTCCCCCCATTGCCATTCTTCCACTACAGAATCACAGCCACCTGTGACTACTTTTCATTGAACAACAATTTTAAAAGCTGGCCCTTTTAAATGATGTCCCTCCCGCGAGATTTTCAAGGAAGGAGTAAACTGGATGGAGGATGTTTAGAGACAGCTTTAAACTACCTAGTCCTTGTGGCTCCTTACCGGCTCTAAATCGGCCTCGCAAACAAGGCTTCGAAAGTTACTAGTCCACACCGTTTTTGAGCAGCTTCCTGCCCCAAATACGCAAGACCAAAGAAAGGTAAGCGGTAAATACCATGAAAGCTATTCTCAGCTAACTGTAAAGAGGAGAGACTCCACCTTCAGAAATTATGGAGAGCAGCAGGGGCGCTTCAGTCTGGAGGAGAAGAGGGGCTTGAATTTAATAAACAAAGCAAGCAAAAATGAAAAACCCCACTGAGACACTCTCTCGCCTTTAAAAGGCTTGCCGAGCACACTCTAAAAGCTCTCAAATCCCAAACCTCCAAAGGAAGATACAACGGTACCTTGGTTCTCAAACTTAATCCATTCCAGAAATCCGTTCCAAAACCAAAGCGTTCCAAAACTAAGGGGCGCTTTCCCATGGAAAGCAATGCAAAATAGATTAATCCGTTCCAGACTTTTAAAAACAACCCCTAAAACAGCAATTTGACATGAATTTTACTACCTAACGAGACCATGGATCCATAAAATGAAAGCGGTAAACAATGTACTGCAGTCACACAATCAATCAATCAGTAGCTGAATTGGGTTCCATACAGTCACCCAAAAAATAGCCACAAAAACACAAAATAAATAGCAAAAACAGACAGACCTCAGCGTCACACTCAAAACGGAAGTGTAACACTCAAAATAGAGCACATTCGGCTTCTGAAAAAAGTTCGCAAACTGAAACACTTACTTCCGGTTTTGCAGTGTTTGGGTTCCGAGTCGTTTGAGTACCAAGGTGTTTGAGAACCAAGGTACCACTGTACCAATGTAAACCATACCTAACCCATCCCACCAGACAAGCCCAACTACATGGTCCAAGTCCCTTCCCTTTCAGCCAAATATTTGAAGGAGATGGGGAGATTTGCTTAAGGCAAAGAGAAGGAACAGCCAACACCAAACTTTTAACTAGCCTGTAGGCCCCAGGAAGCTCACAGCCCCCGGCCCATCTTTCAAAAAGTTTCAGATTTACCATAAATTCTGCTAGAAGCGCTTTTCTAAAGTGCAAAGAGGAGCCGCACTTTAGAGCAGCATCTCGCAGGCAGCAAGGAAGAAAACGAAGGCCAGAATAATATGCTCCAGGCAACTGCCCCTCAGGAATCACCGCTTCTGGAGGGCCAGAAGTGAAAATGAAACTGGGTGCCTCTCCTGCAGAGACTTAGACCTTTCAGCCATGGAGGCTTGGCCCAACTCTTCTCATCGTTGGCCCCACCCTTCCTTAAAGCCAAAGATGCTGCTATAAAAATTTTAGGGTGCACACAGAAAGCAGACAGAGAGACACGCTCCACAGAAAAGCTGTGCTTCCCCCTTCAAAATTTAGGAAATAGTCCCTGAGAAAATTACACTTTAATTTAGCACACAGAACGATCCCAAAAATCCATCCAGCCTCGCCTAATGACTCCAAATATTTCCTCTGCAGAAGGAAAGATACTGGAGAAACCTTCCCCAATAGTTCTCTAGGGTGGGCCTGTGAATTTAAGAACTGAAGTATTTACCATCTCAAAGAAACAGCCAGATAGCCCAAGTAATGCAATCAGTGGCCATTATTTATCAGGTAACTTATCAGACAGGAGACAAGACACTCACTCTCAAATTTCTGTTGGAGACCACATCTTTCTGTGATGG